CCGGCCCGCCCCGGCCTGCTCCTCCCCCCTCCTGCCTGCCCGCCTGCCCCGCAGAACCTCGCAGCCAGAAGACGATTTTAGGGAGAACTTGGGTGTTTTTTCGCCTCGGAAAGGTCGCTGCCGCCTCGAACACCCAGCGCCCGGCGTCCCCCCACCCGCGAAAGCAGAGCTGCGTCCCGGAGCGAGCCAACTCCGCGCGGCACACAGCACGGGATGCAAATGTGGGAAAGGTTAAAGTTGACGTTTCCTACCCTGTTCTTTTGTCAGTAGCATGTATTATATATAAAAAAAACATAAAATACACCCAAACTGTAGATATTATAAGGCTATATTTTTATCTCGGGGTTCTGGTGACACGTACAAACCACTTGAGCTTTGCTTTCGTGGTTTATATTGCCACCAGAAACCCTTGATAAAAATACAGCTTTATATGGTACAGTTGGGTATAGTTTATTTTCTCCATACATCACATGCTGTGTTTTATTTATAAACATACACAAAGACACTTGGACATGCAAAGCAGTTTTTTTATTGAAGTATTTCTGAGATATCAATACTACTGTATTAACTAACGCGCCGTAACACAATAATTTCTCGGTTAGCAATGGCCTTTCTGAAGAGACATCTATGAAAATATGATACAACACATAAAAAAATCAGTATTTCCATGTTAGAATTTATGATTCCCATACTGAAAATTTCAGCTTCTGGTGGATCGTACTCGCAGAGAACCCTGCTCAAACCACCTCAAAATTTAGCTTTCACGTCTCCTGAATACCTGAGTCCTTTCTACAGAGAGGCCACGGCAAACATGGCTTCGCGTAACAGATAGTTGCCGGTCTGGCCGCTGCTGCAGATCACCCTGTGGCAGGGTATGACAATGGCCATCTGCAGAAGAGAGGAGAGCAGGGAGGGAGCAAGGGGTGAGGCCATGGGGAGCGGTGCCTGGGGAAGGTGCCCACAGAGCCACCGCGGAACCACAGAACCATAGCATGGTTTGGGTTGGAAAGGACCTTGAAGCTTGTCTGGTTCCAACCCCCCCTGCTAGGAGCAGGGACATCTCCCACCAGACCAGGTTGCTCAGACCTCCATCCATAGAACCACAAACCAGTTTGGGTTGAAAGGGACCTTAAAGCTCATCTGGTTCCAACCTCCCTGCCATGAGCAGGGACATTTCCCACCAGACCAGGCTGCTCAGAGCTCCATCCATAGAACCATAGACCAGTTTGTGTTGGAAGGGACCTTAAAGCTCATCTGGTTCCAACCCCCCTGCCATGAGCAGGGACATCTTCCACCAGACC